AGCCAGGAGGAAGGAAGAAGAGGAAAAAGAGAATAATCGAACGGGCAGAACAAAGACCGTCTCGCCGCTCCAGGAAATACTTCTGATGTCGGGTTAGCTACTCTTCTCCTCCGGTACGCGATGCCTTCGTGCAGGAATTTCGATCGGAGTACCGAGATAAAAGGTGAATGCTCCTGAGGGAAGCACCCGCGGACTCGAGGTCGCCGGAAAGCTACATTTAGCATAGCGAGCGTTGGAGGAACTCGCGTACCTCTATGGCGAGCGTGGACGACACGACACTGACACTGCGGCAAGTTCCGATTTTCTGGCAAACGATTATTCGGGATGACCGAATAACCGTTTGCACTTGAATAGCGACTCTCGGTCAGTTCGATAGAATGGGATTATAAGGTTTAATGTTTGATACTGAACTTCGCGTGGCCTTTTGATGCGGGAAATATTGGGATATAGATTTGTTGATTACTTTTGTGTGCGATATGTATTCATTAATATTGATGTGTTAATGATTAATAGATTGATTAATTTAGGTGGGATTTATGTTCCAGTTGGTTTTGATTAGTTTTGTGTGTCTTATTAGAATGTACTGAATATTTGTAGTGAGAAACGTAGGGAAGAGTTAATCCTTTGTTCTGTGATTTATTTTACAGCTGTTTGTTGGCAGTGTTTTAGAGGGAATGATTTATTAGGTGAGAGATGAATTCTGTGTTCGTTTTATATCTACATTTACTTTAATTACAAAGTATTGATCAAAGAGAAATAATATTTAATTTCCATTCAAATAAATACAATGTTGTTGCTTCGAATAAATAAACTGTTGTACTATACTACAATTGTGTACATGAATGACTGTTCTTCCTATGCGTTATGATTTCTGTGTGATAGCGAGTTATGTCACAAACTGTTTGTTAATTCTGGCACTTTTTGCTGTTTAACCATTCTAGAAATGACAACTTTCATGTAAAATTGCTATTTCAAAAAATAGACTTGATCGTTGTAAGTGCACACTGACTTTGAACGTGGTTGCAAAATCTTGTTATTTCCAATGGAACACTATTTTCTACGAGCCTCAATATCCCACAATGCTATTGTTGTAGCATATGCCCTTTTGCATTGGACCCTACAATTGGTTGATGAGCTTTCGATGCGCGTATTGGTACATAGAGCGTCGATTATCCGAAGATCGATTATTGGAAGGATAAATTAATTGAACGAAGGACGGGTCACGTATCTAATCAATGCAACAACGTTTAGATTTTGGGACGAGTGCTCTTGTTGCTTCGAATAATAGAGATATTGCTTGGAAGTTCGAAAATAAATTGGCGTTTAATGAATTCGATTCGAGTTAGAGAAATACAACTGGATTTAATGCATTCGATCGACGTTTTATCCCATGCATAAATTATGACAAGGATGATAATAATATGCGATAAAATGATATTTCACATTCGTTACTTACACACGAATAAAAATACAATATAACTTTAGGCGCATTAAATATGTTCCACACGACAACGTGTAGAAAATATTGTACGAGAATGCTCACCATCTTTGAAACTAGTTTTACATAAGGGGTACAACGGAAGTTTCGGTAAAGGTTACAATAGACTTCTATATTCGCTCTTCACATTGTCGGAGGGTTGGCATAAAACGAGTAGAGGGGTTGTATCTCGAGCACGCCGCTCATAAAATATACAAAATATATTTTTTATCTCGTATAGAACACTAAAAGAAATTAATAAAACACGCTGAAAAGAATATTTTATAAAATATATCTCAGCAAATTCACGTTCACTTCAATTAACCCTTAACAGGGTACGTTTTTCTATTGTTAACCCGTAGAAAATTGTTAAAATAAAACGAAAGAATTATTTTCAGAAAATTCGATAAGATAATTTGCAAAATAAAGCAAGGAAAATATATTAGACAAAATGACATAACAATGAAATATCCAAATAGTTCTGTTTCTGTACGAAAATCAATTTGAAAATGTGCTCGTCGAACACTGGATCGTTAAAGATGAAAATTATTCATGTGACTGGTTATATCAATATTTCGGCCACGGGTGATCAACCA